GGGGGGGGTGGGAGAGGGAGAAGCAGGCTTCCCGCACAGCAGGGAGCCTGATGCGGGGCTCGATCCCAGGACCCTGGGATCATGATCTGAGCCAAAGGCAGACGCTTAACCGACTGAGCCACCCAGGTGTCCCAGGATGCTGGTATTAAATACAAGATGCCACCAGGCCAAAAGGGAAAGAGGGGGAAAGGGATGTCATGCCTCACAGGGCATGCTGGCCAGAATGAAGATTGGACTCAAGATGTGGGCTGGCAGCAGCTTCTGAAGGGTCTTAGCAAATGAGGTTCAGTTTATCCTTCTGAGAAAGGTGGCAGTAGATACCTCTTGCTCAAGAGCTTGTTGACTAGGAAGGGTAGAGACCTTTTCTTGGTGCTACATCCTCACCACCTACATCAAATCCTTTCAATTTCCTTTGTGAAATCATTTTTACCTCATCCTTAACCAAGATCTTTGGTTGGGTTTGAACCCAATTGCAACTTGATTTTCTTTAGTTGGCTGCCTCTCTGGACCTCCTGACAATCACACCAGCCGGCCAGGAAAAGGGTCTGTCGCGCATTTCAAGCCAATGTGACACCTGAGGTGCCTTCTCTTCAGGGAGAGGGATCAGGAGATGCTCTCTTTCTCCTCCTGGATGATCTGGTTTGGGACAGGAGGCCTGTCACTTTTACTGTGTGGGGAGCCTGACAATCAAAGCCAACAGTATGGAAGGCAGAATGGAGTCCTCTGAATCTTGGGTCCATATTTTATTTTATTAAAAAAATTTTTTTATTATTATTTTCTTTAGTAATACTCTACTCCCAAGGTGGCACTAGAACTCACAACACCAAGGCAAAGAGTCACATGTTCTTCTGACTGAGCCAGCCAGGTCCCCCTTGACTCCTTACTTTGAATAATTTCTTTCTCTGCTACCTACCAGTTCCAGTAACCTTAACCAATTCCCAGCTAATCCCTGTTCTTGATTTTTACAGCAGCCTCATAAGCCGGTTCCCACTTCCTGTCCATTCCCTCACCCATAGTCATCCACACTGTTCAGAACAGTGATTGCATTGCTACCCACCCTTCCAAAGTCCCCCTTTGCCTTCAGCCTAAGGTCCAAAAGAGTTTCAGCCTAAGGTCCAAAAGAGTTCAACCATCATCCTTGTGCTTTCAACTTCTGTTTCTTGCCTGCTTCGGGTCTCATGTGGCCTCCGTCCGTCTAAATTTTCATCTCCAGCCATATCGATCTACTTTCACTTGTAGTTCTATAAGACACAGAGTGCATCCTGGAGAGAGGAAAACTTATAGTTCACCAGATGCAAGACGTTTTCCCCAAGAAGATGTGGTTGCATGTTCAGAGTCTGCATATTATACCCTCTCATGAATTCACTGAAGTGGATCATGCTCTGTCTTTGTCTCTGACACCACTCAGTTTTTGTCGATGAAGAGAAGGTATGATCCCTTATTGAGACACATCACACCACTCAAAGACCTCCTGAAATCAGACACATCCCTCTGACTTTTGGTGTAAACACTGCACTTGGGGCGCCTGGGTAGCTCAGTCATTGAGCGTCTGCCTT